AATCGCTATCTGGCGTGTTCAAAGCGTGCGTAAAATATAGGCGTATGCGTAGAATAGGTCAGGGGACTTCAGAAGAGTACATTCTAAGGAGCTCGAACCGACTCGAAGCAATCTATTTTCGGTGGAAGCATAATGCCAAAAATACGAATGCAAACACTGTTGATGGTAAGCCCACAGTAAAAGATGGCAAGAGTACATTTTGGAAGTGGTATAGTTCATGAACTATACGAGAGACGCATTTACAAGCGAACTCTTCTCAGTGAATCTTTTATCGAGAAACCTCGTGTATTTAGTGAGCTACCTCCCGAGTTAGAAGCGCTAAGAGAATCACCCGAATTAACTGTTAAAACTGAAACTGTTGGGCACGTAAACATTACCAGCAACTGGATCAGTGAAATTCAACAATGTTTCTGATCAACGCAACAGCCTTATGGAAGAACTCAATACTTCAATAGCCAGCTTTTGGGTAACAATATCCTTGCTTTTAATTTTTGAATTGATTTCATTGATTTTATCTTTCTTTATTTTTATCATCATTTATGCATCTATTGTAATGGCGTACACAATCATGTAATGTCGTATACAGATGTTTATACAGAGGCTGTTGTTATTTCAATGTTTAAAGAATGGCATGCATGTGATGTATTAGACGAAACAAATCAATTGACTGGCAATGTTTCGCTATGCAAAGTGTGCCCCCCCATGATTGTTCAAAAAATTGAATGAGTTCATTTTAATCCGGTCGGTTCGCAGTATTTTAAATCAAACCTTATAAAAATACTACTAACAACAAACTAAAAAAACCTTTTCTTGGACTAAAAACTCTGTTCATGTCTAACCAATTTGGTTTAGTTTAGACAATTTATCTCTGTTCGGCTGCTCTAACTAAGCTCTAAGCTGGTTCCCTGCTAGCAGAGGTCTCTCATTTTCCCTCTCATTTTTGCCTCGCCGTGAAAGACCTCTGCTAGCAGGGAAGGTACTGGGATCTATTTGAAAATCGCAAAAATTAATCCTTAGAGCGAAAAACCAATGTGTCCTAATCGCAAAAAGTAGTTTCCGCAAAACAGAAAAAAATCACCAATCCGCAAAAGTTTCATGTCACACGGTATACCCGCCTAGCTTGTTTTATATCGACCTTCAATAACATAATGGAATTATCAATCATCTATTTATAGTCTCAGTTCAAACAGTTGAATGAGACCCGTAGGTTGGGGTGGTGCCCGGGTTAGGAATGGGTTTAGCAGGGTAACTTCTTCCTTTCTTACGCTCTCAGCTGTTGCGTGTTGTGGTTTCCTTTTCGTTTTCATACAATACGTAATTTCTAACTAGGCTAGGTTTTATGGCCGCCCAGTACACACCTTCCGGTGTCTAGTTTATACAGAAGTTAACATTTACTCTACCGCCAACTGTCAAAGCTACCACCTCGATGAGAACCTTCTCAAAGTAAAAGGCTGTTCCTGTTATTCTGGACCTAAATAAATGGGTCCTAAATATTTTGACGAAAAAACTTTAAAATATCGTGGTTTGGTTTTTTTCTTTTCTTGCTTTAATTCAAATGGCATACGTTTGTTTTGGTCAAAATTTTACTGCCATTTTGTTTAAAATTGTTAGTTTAATTGCTCGAGCGACTAATCAATTTACTTCAACTGCTTTTCCCGAGCTAGACGCCAGGGCATTAGTGAAAAAATTGTTTGGCATTTTTTTCTCTCCAGGGTCAAGTTCAAAGTAAAAAGCCTGGCTTTCATATGACAGGAAAATCCCAGATGATCGCTCGCGTCATATCGGATGATTTTGCGATGTTTATCATCATTATTATTTTGCACATATAATAATAATAATAATAATAATAATAATGATAATATAACTCTTTATTGCCATCAAAGCTAAACTATTAAAACCTACTTACAATTCATTTCGATTTTCAAAAAAGCTATTTCAAGCACTATTTACTAAAAAGAAAATTAAACTTTGAGCTATTTTCCTGAATGCCAGATGGCATAAGATCTATATAGAGCAGAAACATTTAAAACCACTCTAACCTTAGATATATATCTCGCCGATTTTTTGAAAACCAGCCTAACGAACGTTGCAGTCATTTGATTGGAAAAGCGTCAAAAGGTATGATTCTTAAGCCCGAGAAGTTCCAAAATCATAGCAACGAAGGAATAGGAAAGGAGAAAAAGAAACAAAAGCAATGGTTGCGCTCTTAGTTTTTATAATAGCTACTTTGGAGATAGTGTTTGGCTGGAAAAAGCTTTTGGACGCGAAAGGTCCATTTGGCGATAACGTTATCAAAAATCCAGCTAGATATATATTATATTTTAGTAAAATCCAACTGGTGGTCTATTTCAATGCCGCGTTCTGATTTGTTGAGCTACTACTAGGCTATATGTTATAGCCCACTAGTAGCGAAAAGCGCGGGCTTTTTGGCGGCAAAAAAGGATTAAAGTCTAGCTTTAACTAGCTAAATCGTTTTTATTCTCGATACTTTTGACCAACC